CTTGCAACCCTCCCATTGCACCCTGCACGCCCAGCCCTTCCCATTGCAACCCTCTGTGCAACCTCTGTGCAACCTTCCCTTATCACACCCTGCTGCACCCTGCACCCTTTTCCCATTCCACCCTGCTGCACCCCAAGCCTTTCCCCTGTTGCACCCCCGTGAACCCTGCTGCATCCCGAGCAATTCCCCCATTGCACTCCTGTGCACCCCAAACCCTTCCCCATTGCAACCCCTTGTGCACCCTGAGATGTTTCCCCATGGCACCCGTGAGACTCCAGGGTGCTGCATCCTGGCTGGGGGGATGGAGAGGCAGCTGGCGCCAGAATAAGAAGCGCCTTGGCTTCCTGGCTCCCGTGTGGCTCCCTGCGGGATGGCAGCGCCGAGATGTACCTGGAGCAGGGATGCGCATGGGGCAGGATGAGGAGCAGCAGGATGGGCCAGGGTGGAGCGCAGGGCCCAGCTCACGGCTTTATTCTCACTGAGCACACCCMGCACCGCACGCGCCGCCCGGGCCGGGGGCTTCCTGCCATGGCAGCTTTGCCCTTAGCCCCCTGCGAGCCCTTCCTGCGCAGCCCAAAGGCCCCGGCYGTGCCCAGGGCTGGTGCCAGGGCTTCCGCGCCAAGGAATGGCCGCACGATGCGCCCCCAGGGCCGGGGGCACGCGGCAGCCCCGCCAGCGGAGCTGGGATGCAGTTGGCAGCTCCGATGCAGCCCTGCACCGCTGCCGGGGTGCAGGGGGGCTGCAGCGCCCTAGGGGGGCCGTGCCACCCGCAGCCCTGGCGAGGGCGGCAGAGCTCGGCCGGCACCGCGGCCGTGCCGCAGCCCGGCGCTTGCCAGCCCCGAGGAGGCCGAGCAGGGGAGCGGGCGCCGGGCGGGCTCAGGAGGGTCCCTCCAGCGGGCCCTTCACCAGCGCGATGGCCGCGAGCTCCTTGCAGAACTCCTCCAGCACCACGACGCCCTTGAGCAGCGTGGCGTGCTGCAGCCTGCGGGGCGCGAGTGGGCGCTGCTGCCGGCCCTGCGTGGCACGCGGCTTTCCCCCCGTCCTGCGCCCGTGTGCCCGTGCCCTGGGCGCCCGCCTCMGCGCTTACTCCTCTCCGGGCACCAGTCCCAGGAGCTGCCGTCGCACCAGCAGCAGCTTGGCCCTGAACTGCGGCACGCGCTGGATCCGCTGCATGAGGTCCCCGATGACCTGCGCGGGGCCAGCRGGGTGAGTCCCTGCTCCGGAGGGACGTCCCCAGGGCTGTCCCCATGGCGGAGGCGCCGGTACCCGCACGAGCACAGAGAAGAGCGAGCGGCAGCCAGGGGCCAGGTCCACGTAGGGGTCCAGCAGGTACTCGTGCAGGTGGGGGTGCGGGAAGGCGGCCAGGCGAGACAGCACCGATGTCACCTGCAGGTTGAGGCTGTAGGGCTGGGACACGCGCGACGTGCTCAGTGGGAGCCCGCGCTGYGGTGGCCGCCGCCGCCGGGGCTCCCGACGCTCCTCACCTGGTCCAGGACGTGGCTCATGCGCTCGAAGAGCACCTCGAGGAAGCGACCCTCGTAGAAGGGCGTCTCGGGGGGCCCTYGGCCGAGCGGCCGCGGCGCCGCCGGCCACCCCCACGCGGCCGCGCTGGCCCGGGCCGCCTGCACCTGCGGGGAGCCACTGTGGTGGGCGAGAGCCGCGAGGGCGCCGCGAGCCGCCGCGGGCACTCACCATGGCCAGCGCGTCGTGCACGTAGGTGTCGTAGCCGCCCTGCCCGGTGCACGACGAGGTCTTGGCCTCTTCAGGCACCAGGCACAGGAAGCTGCAAGCGGACGAGGAGGAGGAGGAGGAAGGCCAGGGTGGGATGCAGCACGGCATCACCGTGGGATGAGCCCTACCTGCTCACCACCTCATCCACCCGCCCGGGCCCCTCGGCACGCGCCTGTCCGCGCCGTGTGCTCGGCGGAGGTGCCTCCGGCTCCCCCGGGAATCCGTCGGGGAAATAGGGATCCTCCTCGAGCTCCCTGCGGGGCGGGCGGAGCGGCTGAGCGCCGGCGCGGGGAGCCCCTGCCCGGGGCCACCTCCGTGCCAGCGTGGCTCCCCGCTCACGGCGCGTCCTCGTCTGGCTCGGGCTCGCGGGCGCCGTGCTCGTCGGGGCCGCGCTGCGCGTAGCCGCGCGCCTCCAGGTTGCGGAGCGCCAGGTTGTGGGGCACGTGCTCGTGGGGCGCGCGCAGGAGCTCCTCGAAGAGCCGCAGGGTGACCAGGCTCACCTGCGGGCACGCGGCGGCCGTGAGCCCCGCGGTGACGCCGGCACGGCACCCGCCGCCGCCGCGGCCACGGGCTCACCTCGTCGGAGAGGTGGTTGCAGCGCTCGATGAGCTGGGCGCGCAGGCGGGCGCCGCGGGCCCCGGGCGCTTCGGGCTGCCGCTCCGGGCCCAGCACGAAGAGCACCAGGGCGCCGAGCAGCGCGGGCGCCCGCACATGCCGCACGGCACCCGCCAGCGCGGCCGTGGCGCGCAGCACGGCCAGCTCGGACCTGCCACGAAGGCGCCAGCTATGGGTGCTGCGAAGCGGGTGCCGCAGGCGGGCGAGCGCCAGTGCAGCCGAGGGGGCTCCCCWGGGCGCCCGACCGGCACACTCACATCTGCAGCAGCTGCGGCTGCAGGATGCTGCGGAAGAGCTGCTCGCACACAGCCTCGGCGAGCGCGTCCGCCACGAGCTGCGCGCGGGCACAGAGGGTGAGCGGCTGCGCACGCGAGCGCGGGCGCCCGCCCAGCCCGGCGCTGCTCACCGCGTGCGCGCTTCGTGCAAGCTCGTCCATGAAGTCAAGCCAGCYGAAGAAGGCCACCAGGTTCTCCTTGCCCGGGAAGGTGGCACCACTGGTGTCTCCCTGCGACCTGCACGGGCAGAACACAGGTAGGGGCTTGGGCACAGCTGCAGCCAGACCCCTGATCCCCCCCGGAGTCGCCTGCACCTCCAGGTGACTCTCTCCAGGGCCAGGATGTCGTCGGGGTGGGTGCTGGCGGGCACGGCGCTGTACAGYGCGCACAAATGCTCCGTCAGCAGCGGGCACAGGGCACTGCGCTGCACCAGCTGCGCAGCGGGCACCTCCTGGGCCAGCGCCACGAGGGAGAGCAGGTTTTCCCGGGCTTTCAGCGCCACGCGGTCCTTCTGCGCGAGGAAGAAGAGGGAGGCGACGTGGGGACACTCTCTTTGTGCCCGCCTGGCCCCCCGCGCCAGCCCTTACCCGCTACCTGGCTCTTGCAGAGCGCCACCAGGCAGGTGACAAGGTTGTGCTCCCGGCACGGCGAGGAGCGCTCCAGCGCCGGCGCGCTCCCGGCGTCCTTGGCCGCAGCTCCCTGCGGATCATGCTCTCCCTGCTCTTCTCCAGGACAGGCGGGCAGCTCCGCCGGCATCTTCCCCTTSAGGAGACTCTTGCCCTGGCAGAGGGAGGAAGAGGAGCAGTAAAGCATCCCCGCCGCAGCCTTCATCCCTGGGCAGCAAGAGCGCACGAAAGGGCTCGACGGAGAGCRCGCGCGGGCTCCGCACCTCCAGCACGTAGGGCAGCAGGGCCGGCTCCTGGCGGACCTTGGCGCAGAGCGCGGCGGCGAACTGCACCTCCTCGCCGTGCGCGCCGGCGCCCGCGGCATGGCACAGCTGCAGCAGCTTCTGCACGGGAGCGGGGCGCTGGGCAGGGCGCCCCTCGCTGCGCCCGCCGTGCCCCCCGGGCAGCCCCCGCTCACCTGCACGGGCCGGTGCACGTTGCGGTAGTGCAGCAGGGGATGCTGCACCTGGCCCAGCACCCTGCTGAAGAAGAGCAGGACCTGCTGCCTCATCCCCGGCGGGTACTGGAAGCGGGGAGGGCAGCGGCGTCAGCGAGCGCCCGCCGACCCCTTTCCCAGCGTTATTCCTGGGGCGTTATTGCCCRGGAATTAAAACCCAGTGCCCCAAATAAGCATGGCCTTGCGGCACGGCCTGGGTGCCTTGCCGAAACACAGAGGGACACCRAATATTGCTGCCATTGCCACGTCCCTTTGTTTGAATGAAAGGTTATTTATAGGGAGCCACGGCATTACGGGTAGCAGAGCCCAGGACGGCTGTTATTTTTAGGCTGTATTTTMTTTGCAAGGTGGCTTTTTATAGAGCCAGGCTCCTGCAAAGCACAGGGCTGGGGCAAAGCCTCAGGGCAGCCTGCACAGCGAGCGCTGCACGCGAGCACGTCCGGAGCTGCAGGGGACATTCAAACGCCCATGTCCGGAGCAGGAGGAATAACACCATGTACGGAGCAGGAGCTGGCGCAGAAAGAGCTCCTCAAACAAGCAATGCAACCCCCAAAGCTCCAGGTGGGCACAACCACCCTCAAAATCTCGCAGGAATTCCCTGCCATACTCTGCAAATTGCTGTCTTGGAAATATAACACCTGCAAGGCCCAAACTGTGGAGCACCAGGGCAAGGGAAGGGGATGCTGGCTGGGTGCTGGGTGCTCGCAGAACAGAGAGCTTAGGGGGCTGAAGCTCCCATGGGGACGCATGGGCACCTCTGCTTTGCCCAGCGTGCTGAGGGTCTCCAGGAGCTTGTGCTGCAGCAGATATTCCAAGCACGGCCCGGCCTCCCCTGCCGGCTGCTGCTTCTCCTCGTACACCAGGATGTCCAGCATCTGCTTGAGGCGCCAGGGGATGTCGGTCTGCTTGGCCGGGGTGCTCTCGTCTGCGGGACACAAGATGGGGCGCTGGGACATCTCTCCTGATCCCCAGCACCATCCC